ATTATTATTATTGCTACAGACTGAGTTCAGTACATACTAGTTATATTGACTTGAGTTGCGTGACCATGGCGTCCAGGGCACACACAAAATCCAACTTCTCACGTACTCCTGCAATGTTCAAAGAACCGTTGAAGTTAAACTCCCTTTGAAAAGTAAGCGCAAGTCAGAAAAGAAAAGAAATGAGAGCTCGGCAATAGACATTTAATGCACATTTTAATAATAGTTGAGTTTAATAGTTAAATTAATAGTTGAGGTACAGAAATGTAAAAATAAATAAAAATATAAATGAAAAGTAAGCGTGAGTCGGAGAAAGAAAAGACCTAACGCTACACTATTTGTGTCTACGCTGTACCATTCTACATTACGCTGAGCCATTTCACGCAACGCTACACCATTTGTGTGTACGCTGTACCATTCGACATTACGCTAAGCCATTTCATGCAACGCTACACTGTTTGTATGTACGCTGTACCATTCGACATTACGCTGAGCCATTTCACACAACGCTACACTGTTTTTATGTACGCTGTACCATTCGACATTACGCTGAGCCATTTCCCGCAGCGCTACACCATATGTGTGTACGCTGTACCATTCTACATTAAGCTGAGCCATTTGACGCAACGCTACACCGTTTGTGCGTACGCTGTGCTACTCGACGTTACCCTGAGCCGTTTAACTCAACGCTACACCGTTTGAGTACTGTATTGCAAATGAGTGCTAAGCTATTCGTAATTGAGCTAGTCCATTTCACAATCTCATGTTCCAACTCAACATGGGCTACTAGATTGTTTCTCATTTGGCTAAACTATTTATGTTTAGGGTGTTCTGTTTCACGAAGGAAAACTAGACTGTCTATAATTTGGCCATGCCATTCCTTTATTAGCTATGCTATCCTGCAGCTGATCCTTACACCATCTTTGTATTTGCTGATCTATTTAGATAGATAGATAGATAGATAGACGTTTATTAAGAATACCTTAATAGCAGCTGGAAGCTGAATTACAAAGGTGTACAAATTATATAATAGAACTATACAATAAAATCAAACCTAAAAGGGAACTAATTTACATATGGGCCCATATACAATTGTAATAGATGTCAATTAAAATGTCTTGCGCTTGCTGGAATGAAAGTATCTCTGAACCGATTTGTTTTAAAGGAAACTCTAAATGGTCTGCGTCGTCGTAACTCCATAAGTTGATCTCGGTTGTCGAAAGGCAGTAAGTGGTACAAACAATCCAAGGGATTGGAGACGATGTTGTTAAAGAATTTTAAGCAAAGGTCTTCCCTCCGATCCCTTAGGGTTTTCAGCTCTGCCATCTGAAGCACTTCTCTATAATGATTATCATAACCGTATATAATTTTCAAGGCTCTCTTTTGGACACGCTCTAAACTTAAGCTCAAATAATCGGGGAGACTATAATGGTAGACCTGACATCCATAAAGTAAGACGGATTGAATGCAAGCAACATAAAAATTCACTAATTCTGGTGATGGTACCTTAGCTCGCTTTAACTGAGTTAAAAAGTAAAGGCGCTTAGCGGCCTTTTTAATCATCTCAGTAACGTGAGTGTTCCACTTGAGGTTGTCTTGAAAATACACACCCAGTAATTTCACGACACTAACGGCGCTAACCTTAGAGCCATTAATTTCTATGAGATCGTAGGAAGGAGGGGAGCGCACGAAGGAAACTCTTAGCTCATTACATTTTTTCGGATGAAGTTGAAACGAGTTAAGTGTTGACCAGGTAGCTACTTCGTTTATCATAGACTGAGCATTGCTAGGACCACCCTTGCTTATGATTTCATACACTGTCGTGTCATCTACATATTTTATACAATCACTGGCTGATGGTACTTTCAAATCATTTATCATAACCAAGAATAGCCACGGTCCCAATTTTGTTCCCTGCGGTACTCCTGCTCGGACCGATCCCCACTCTGAGAGACAATCATGTGCAAGTTTGACCCTTTGTTTCCTATCTTTAAGAAAGGCTATTATCCAATTAATGATGTAAGGGTTGATATTGTAGGTCGAGAGTTTCGATAGCAAGAGGCTGTGATCTATCAGATCGAAGGCTTTTCTATAGTCCAACGCAAAGATCCGCACGGTGTTCCCCGTTCCGTCTGTTGCTTGCGCCCAATTGTGCATCAGGTTTATCAATGCATGCGCAGTGGAGGATCCTGGAATACACCCAAATTGATCGGGTTCCAGGCGTTTCAGAAGTGCTGGTTTCACATGTTCATGGACGACGTAGTGCTCGGCAATTTTGGACAACGTTGGTGTCAGTGAAATAGGTCTCAAATCTTTCGCCGCATCCTCAACTATCTTTGTTTTGGGAAGAGGGGTGATGTTTGCACATTTCCAAATGTCCGGTAAAGTCCCTTGACTAATCGAGGAATTGATGATACAACGAAGAGGTTGAGCGAGCTCAGGAGCGAAGTCACGCAAGACCCAGTTTGGGATATTATCTGGGCCCCCAGCTTTGGAGGAGCTGACCGTACTAAGGCATTTGAAGGTAGCTTCCAGTGAAATAATGGGAGTTTTAAAACCCTCAGTGCTCACAGTTTCGATATTATCTAAAAGTGGGTCAAACGAAGCTTGAGGTTCTAGCAGAGCTGTGTTGATTTCATTAGCCAAGATCTTAAGGTTGATTGAGGTAGCTGGTTTACTTGCTAGGAGCTGATTTGCGACACTTGTAGATGTTTTGTTCATTCCACATAACCGCCTACATTCGGACCACCACATTTTAGGATTGTTTTCGGTCAAAACGCTGACTTTAGTGTTGTAATAAGAGCGTTTGCAGAGCTTCCGTTCCCTGTTTACTTTGTTCCGGTAGTAGTGGAACAATGGTTTGTTGTCTTGGTAATATGCTCTTTGACGGTGTGCTATAAGTGCCTTGAGTTTGGGTGAAATCCATGGTGCGTCGTTTCGGTGGAACTTAACTCGCTTTTTGGGAAGGATAGAATCTAACCCTATGTGAATTAGGTCACTGAAGTGAGCATACTGTTCTTGGACGCTATCTATAGTGTCGATTAATGACCAGTCGACCCCCGTCATATAACGACCAAAAGCCTGTTTGGACTCAGCGTTAACAGCACGTGTAGTAACCGTTCTGTTTGCAGGAATATTGGCCTTCGATCTAATTTTTGGAAACAAACCAACAGTACAATGATCGGATAGTCCGAAGGGCGGGAATGGAGAAGGTTTCTCGTAGTGTTCTGTAAGATTAGTTAGCACTTTGTCGAGTGTACGATCCCCTCTTGTTGGAAAATGGACGACTTGCGTGAGGCGGAACTGCTTAATAACTGGTGAAACATTTGCCCTGTTCCAGTCGCCAGCGAGAATTATACCTGCGCCAGGGATATCACTCTCTATCCTAGAGAGAGAATCCATCATGTAATCAAGGAGGGGCTCATCTTTGGCAGGCGGTGGAGGATGGTATACTGTACCAATGATAAGGCAGCTATAACCCCGGGGCAATCGGTTGGGCGTGATTTTGGCCCACAAAACCTCAGGGCCCTCGGGGTCAGGAAACTCATAGTCCCGTAGAATTGAGAATTTGATGGAATCTTTTACATATAGAGCCACACCCCCATGTAGCTTGTGGGTCCTATCTTTGCGTATGATGTTGTAGCCACTAATGTCAACTACGCTGTCATCAATAGAATCTTTCAGCCATGTCTCCGTTATACAACAAAGATCAAACTCGTGGGTGTTCAAAAAAATACGAAGTTCGTCTATTTTTGGTGCCAAACTCATTACATTAGACACAGCTATTGACGGTACGAACTGCAAGGTGTTTTTCCTGGCGTCGATGTTTCTCTTAGGCTTGATAATAGCCAGATTATTGAAATTGACGGCTCTTTCTTCTGTGTAACGGCTGGAGGAAACACGCGTAGTTACTCTCACGGGAATTGTTGAAAGTCTCGGTAAAGCGTGATTATTGAACCGTAAAGATTCATTCAAGATGGAAGAGTTATAGCAATTAACAGTTCTTGGTCTTGTGTAACTACTGGAGATGGCGCGTGTGGTTGTTCTCACGGGAATTACTGAAAGCCCCGGTAAGGTGTGATTGTTCGACTGTGAATAATTATTCAAGGTTGAAAATTCATTCGTTTCTGAAGAATATTTGCTTCGGCCTGTATTTAATTGTGTTTTAGTAAGTCTTCCGGACCGTTTCCCTCGGTACTTAAAAATTCCATCCGCTCGAATGTTCTTAAATAAAACTGACCGTCTCTCCTGAAGGCTGTAATTTTTCCGGAGCGACACCAGTTCGCGCCGAGAGTACTGTAGGGTCGTTGTTTGGCGAATTGGAGAATCAAGCTGCCGAATTAAATCTCGAGTGGCTCTCTGCCGGCTACCAATGGCGATAATAGATTGAGCAGGACCGGGGTTGGTCGAAATATCAACGTATACCGTGATGTCCAATGGAGGGTCGTGGCCAGGGATGACTAAGGAGACAAACCCGTGTTTAGTGTGCTTCTGCATTGGAACTCTTGATCGATGAAAACCATCTTTGACGATACAAGTGCATTTCTTCTTGAGTTGAACAGCAGTGTGCAGGGGTTCCCACCTTGATTTAAAAGTAGCCTCGAAGGATAATAAATGGTTTAGAAATGCAGCGCTTAAACAGGATAGAATAGTGATAGAAACTAGAGCTACTCTAAACGTGGCCGCCATGATTGGCGCCGATATACATAACGCTGTCATATTTGACATCCTTGTATTTTTGGTGGTGACGGCCGCCCATAAAAGAGATCACTAAAGGGCTTACGGCATTTGCTTAATGGCGGATACGTGAAGACACGCTGTTTAAGTAATTTACAGATCGTCAAGTGTTTGAATGACAGTTTTACCTCACTATCGTACGAGTTAATTGAATGATGTAAACGAATCTCTGATCGTTTTTTGATGACGCAATCAGTTAGTCATTTGAGAAAAACACGTGCACAATTAAAAAAAAAATTGTTGTTAGGGCTGGCCACTGGCAAAAGATGTTCGCATGTAACAAAGCAAGGTTAAAAATTAATTCTAAAACTATTCACTGTTCGTCAACTTATCTTATGTGCCAAAAGGAGAAACCACTAGTAAGGGGATTTGATCTCATTGGGACCAGAGCCAAATATCTTTGTTTTTGGTGTCGGTATGGAATAATGGTATTTCTGACGATTGAGTCTGCGAATAAGGCAGAAATAAATATTTTGTCGGCACGAGATACGACAAGGCCCGGGCCTTAGGCCCGAGCATCATGGGTAATGATGCAGTGGTATATAAGGGGGAGTATAGCACGTGGCGTCCATCTAGGCCTCAGAACCAACCGTCCACCTCTGACTGATGACGAATTTATTGGTCTTTTTCTGGTCTTTCCTTCTTGCTTGTCGGTATGGAATACACATATATATATATATATATATATATATTCATAGCTTTTCATGCAACTGAAAAAATCAAATCGTTTACTCTTAGGCCTCTAACGTATCATGCAATGAATATTTAAAATATTTATATATATTTATATTTAATTTTACCATACTATGCCTAATTGTCCTTTATCCACGTCCTTTGCCTTTATTTACTTTCATCTACCCTAATCAACCTTAATTGTCTTCATCTCACTTCATCTATCATGTTATTATCTCATTTACCTTTATATCCTTCGTTGTTCTTCCTTGTCCTTCCTCTATCTTCTTTTGGCCTCATCTACCTTCATCAACCTAAAATTACAATCATTGATCTTCATCTATCTTCCTCTGCTTTCATCTACCTTCATCTACCGTGGTCTATTTTCATCTGCCATTCTTTCCTTTCAGACCTTCATTTGCCTTTGCATGTCTGTCTTTATATACCCTGATCTATCTTCCTTCTCCCTTAGTTTCATTCCATGTCCTTTAGCTACTTTCATTTATCCTCATCCTCCTTCAGCCACTATCTTCATCTACCTACATCCATTTTCATCTGCCATCATTCACCTTCAGATAACTTCATCTTCCTTCAGCTACCTTCATCTACCTCATCTACCTTATCTACCATCTTATAACTTCATTCACCTTCATTTACCTTTATTACCTTTATTTACCTTCACTTATCTTCATTTTCATTTTACATCTTTTGCCATCATTTATCTTCATCTACCTTTATTTACCTTCTTCTAAATTTATCGAACTTCAAATGAATTAACCCTCAACTTCCTTCATTTACTTTCATCTCCTAAATATACCATCATTTACCTTCATCGGCCCTATTCTACCTTCAAGCACCTTCATTTAATTTCATTTTCCTGAATGTACAAGACTTTGCGTTTATTTAACTTTATCTACCATCATCTACCCTTATCTACCCTAATTTCCGTTCACTTACCTTATTCTCCCCTCATCTACCGTCATTCACCTTCAACCATCTTCATCTCCCTTTTTCTATCATCTTTTACCTTCATCTTCTATCATCCATGAAAAACTTTTCAAGAAAGTGCAGTTTTTGACAGTTATCCTTTAAAACGCCAAAAATCACCTTTCTGACCCATCTAAATTTCAACAATTTCTGAGGAGCATGCTATCTATTTACCCCTTTATTTATTCAGCGAATATTAATCCGACCCCCCTTACTAATCCTCGATCGGCGCTAAGCAGTGAACTCACATCATATAATAAGATTTCTATCCTTCAGGTTCTGCTCTACTTTTTCTGGCACTCTCTGTGACTTATCAAATTCTACCATCAACGCGGGCATTCCCAATAGATTGCCAAAAGAACACTGCATTCTGTTTAGAAAAAATAACGAAGGACGTCACTCAAGTTCAGCAGAACAAAACATTGGCGAAATGTAAGCACGATTCCTCTTCGTTCATGTGTGTTACTACCTTTATTAAAATCTATTAATTTATATTTTTATTATTATTTTTCAAGAGAACACAAACTGTTATTCCCTTGTATTTTATCAACAGCTAAGAACTGTGTTGAGCTCTACTATTCCGGTCAAAGGATCAGCGGTGTTTACACAATCGACCCAGATGGCTCAGGCGCCTTTAATGTCTATTGTGACCAAACTACTTCCGGTGGGGGATGGACAGTCTTTCAGAAGAGAATGGATGGCTCCGTTGATTTTAACCGCACCTGGAATAACTACAAATATGGCTTCGGTAACTTGCTCGGTGAATTTTGGCTCGGACTGGACAAGATAAACCGTCTGACACAAAACAAAACAAAGAACATGCTTCGAATAGATCTGGGGGTAACTACGCGCCAAACTGTTCACGCTGAGTATGAATGGTTTGGGATTGGGAATGCTACGGCTGACTACCGCCTGTACATTGGCAATATGACGAGTAAGTAAGCCGTCTTTTTAAACATTCATCGTTCGATTTTTATGTGTTACTTCCCTATCGACGTCTACTGCCCCATTCACACCAAAGCTTAGGAGCTGTTTTGCTAAAACCATTTAAAATGTGTTTCTTCAGAGAGGCTGCTTAAACTGATATATGTCCATTTCAAACTTAGCAAATTTAGCAAATTAACAAGTTAGTGACAACTTGAATACTATGAAAAACTGGTTTTTAATTCAATCCCTTCTCCCAACTCCACGCAACCTGCAAAGAATGGTTCGTTCTAGTGTATACCCGTTTGACTGTGTTTTGCTGTTAATTCTGCCCAAACCAAGTTGAGTCGGCGCTCCTCCTTGGATAGTTTTCTTAAGCTGCTTAAGATAGAAAATTCATTGACCTCGGCTTTAGCAAAATCAAAAAATTTGAGTATTTTCTTATTTTGCCAGGTGTTTTTGTATTTGGATATCTGCCCTACTTCGTCGATTCGTAGCTATCGAGTTTGAGGTGTTATCTTGATCCTAATATTATGGAATTTTGGTATTTATTATTATTATTATTTTTTAAGCAGATTCAACTGTTTCATTTGACTCCCTCAATCCTCACAAAGATCTCATTTTTGGTACCTGGGATAGAGATCCTGCCCATTGTGCTCAAAAAAGAGGCGGAGGCTGGTGGTATGGCAACAGTAGTGCTTGTGCTGTTTGGTCGAATCTCAACGGAATTTATCCGCATTGTCGAAAGGAAACCTGGGCCGATATCCATTGGGGAAACTTAGATCCAAACAGACCCGCGGGTAGCGCCCCCATATCAACTGAAATGAAAATTAGACCAGTGGATCTTTTTTAAAATTTTCTGACGGTAAAGTGTTCATGTATATAGTGATTTCTGCGTCCTCTGATCGGTCGACTTCGCTTTTATAACAATTGTGATTGGCAGATTAGTGATCGAGTGGCCGTCCTTGAATTTGAATGAATTCCGCCAAGGGAACATCATCGTTAACTGTTTCCCTCGCGATCAGGCATCAAGTGCATTTATTTGCATGCATGGTGATTTTGATTCTTTTTTACGAACTATTCATTGTTGATTTGAAAACGCTGCAATTAAAAATTAGTTCGCTTGCTTTCGAAATTAAACCAAGGTGAGAATACTCTCGTCAGTAGAGATTTAAAAATGGAAACATTTACTGTCAAAAAGTTGTCACAGTGTTCCGTGTTGTTGTTTAACAATCGGCTGGCATTAGAGCCACAAGAAGCTTTTTACTTAATTATTTTAACTAACTTCGTTGCGTTTTAAGAGTAATCATGCACGATCATGTTTTATTGGACAAAACCTTTCCATATAGTGTCCTCAGGAGCTGAACATCGTTAGATAAAAAGATGTCGAATTTCCGATCCATTACAAAACGGGAAGCAAGCTTACGCTTAACTGAAGAATCTATTGAGAAAGTGGACTGTGAAATAACTCTAGCTAATCTTTTAGTTTGTAATGAATATTTCGAGTCCTCGACGAGTAATCAATATCGGGATTAACCTGGGTATGGGCGACAGGGAGAGAATAGAGTAAGATAAAGAAAGATAAAGTTAAGATGGATTTAGTCGATGTGTAATAAAAAAGAACAAGAAGATTTATAATTCAACTGATGAGGTTGGACCTTTGGCCAATAGGTTTATTAACTTGGTAGCCAGGGAAGCAGGTGATCGGCGAGAACTTGTAAATAAGATATATGTTGTAAATAAGAAAATATGTTTACATTGGACGTAGCATTGTATTAATGCCATCTTGACCGAACAACCTTGGTAAAAAAGGATTAATTTTTGTTATCCAGAATAAATCTCTGGTTTCAGTATTAATCAAGAGTAACTGGTTTTACCTCCGCTGGAAGAGAAAACCAACTGTGAAGGCGCTTTCTCGTTTTGACAAATTTAAATATAACATGTTTCGATAGACTTTCAAAAATGATAAGTGAACGTCAAAAGTCTCGTTTGATTTGATTTAAAGCAGAAATTTACACCTACTTCCACGGACGAAATAAATTCCAATAAAGACTAAATGCCAAAGAGTGACTAAAATGGCTTGATTTTTCAAAATCCAAGTTTAAAAGTAATTAAACATCCAGCTTTGAATCAAAACAGTTTAATCCGGATGGTTTGGTTTGTTTCCTTTGCCGTCGTCTACCACAGCGTGAAATTATAAATTTACGAATCCATAAAGATGCCATAAAGTAAGCGTTAAGATCCTCTTTACGCGTCTTTAGGAACTTCTTTACACTCTTGTAAAGGATGTCTTCACACGTTGAAAACGATAGTGCGTAAAGATCACGGAGAGAGACTAAAAACGTTGTCTTTATGTGCCTTGTAAATACTCGTATAGAGAATATTTACAATATTTTACGGCGACTGAAAAGCGATCAGAAAGGCGATCTTTACGCGCTATTAAACTATCGTAAATAGGCAATATTTACATGCCCATTTGTCATTTTGCAGTTTTCTGAATTTTTTGGCAACATTCCTTTTGCTAATCAGGCCATAAAAAATGTGAGCTCGTGACAACATCAACGTAATGCGCTATCTTTACGGAAGGCGGAACTTGTCCGTAAGGAAGAGGCTCTACATTTACGTTTCTTTACGCAAGGGTTAAAGATGCGTAAGTTTGAGATTTCATACGTAGTCATATGTAGTCCAAAATTGTAAAAAGAACTAATACGATTAGTTTAGAGAATGTGTATCGCTTCCGTTTACTACAATAACGTACCGCACTAGAAGGAAAAATTTATCAATAAGTCGCATGACATTAATCGTACAACTAACGAAAGGAGATTTGTCATTCTTGGGCCACTGACTTATCATGTGATGACTGCTTTAAAATATTTGCTATGCAGCCATACGCTGGTCTCTCCCACCATTTCAGTGGCTTCTTAGCTTGGATCTTGGTACCACCACGAGTTTGAATTCCGTCGGGTTCTCTAATCGCAGCCCACGTGCAAAAATCATTTCTTAATTAGCCTTTCATTCGCTGGTCAGAATATCATTTATGATATTTAACATCAGGAAATATCTATTATAACCTTGTTTTGATGCTTCGAACCTCCGAACAGAGACTACCTGAAACGACGCCGTAATTAACCATGACAGATTCCGGGCGAGTTTGCACGAACTCAGAGCAAGACCAAGCCAGGGAATAGGATGGTCGTAGTACGTAGAGCATTTTCCGCAAAATTAATAGGACTTAAATAATTGCGGAAGTCTAGAGTCCCACGTAGGACTTAAAATAATGGAAATTTGTCTAAAAATTTTTTTTTCTTTTGGCAAACATTTAAAAGAACGTCATTACGCACAAACCTTTATCAGTTCTTGCTGAGAGCACGCAGAGACGGAAAAGCGATCAAATTGGAGAGGCAAGTGTACTTGACAGTACTTAGAGGTTCTTTTAGTCTATTTGCTAACTGGTTGTTAGGTAGTAGTTGTTTCTCTGAAGCCTTTCTAATTAACATTTCTGAGCAAGACTAAGCCAGGGGATAGGATGATCATAGTACGTAGAGCATTTTCCGCTAAATTAAGTCTTAAATAATTGTGGAAGTCTAAAGTCCCACGTAGGACTCAAAATAAAGGAAATTTGTCTGGTATTTTTTTCTTTTGGTAATTATCCATGACAGATTCCGGGCGAGTTTGCACGAACTCAGAGCAAGACCAAGCCAGGGAATAGGATGGTCGTAGTACGTAGAGAATTTTCCGCAAAATTAATAGGACTTAATCAATTGCGGAAGTCTAGAGTCCCACGTAGGACTTAAAATAAAGGAAATTTGTCTGGTATTTTTTTTTCTTTTGGCAAACATTTAAAATACCTTCATCATGCACAAACTTTGATCAGTTCTTGCAGGGAGCACGCAGAGACGGAGAAGCAATCAAATTGGAGAGGCAAGTGCACTTAACAGTGCTTAGAGGTTCTTTTAGTCTATTTGCTAACTGGTTGTTAGGAAATAGTTGTTCCTCTGAAGCCTTTCTAACTAACGTTTCGGACAACATCCGAAGATTTACAATGAGGGGGCAATCCCTGAGGAATAGGTATGTAACATCTGGTGCATATAAACTTAGGTAAAAAAGGGAGCTTAGACCCAATGCTTATTTTTTCAAGCACATAGAATAAACTCCTTTTACATGGGTTTAGTTTCAAGTTGGCTGCCCTGGAAATGGCTTGTCAATGTCGAGTAAGTGGCACGGTCGACATCTACATTCAGTTTTTGAAAATGTCTCCCTAACAAGTCAAAATTATGCCTGAGCTTTTTGCCGATTCATCGTCGTTCGCGCCAAAATTTGTCTTTTCCAAGAATTCTAAACGAATTTGTCATACATTCGGTGGCAACAACTTAAACATCCATTTGTTACGTATTCGGCTCTTAGATAGACCTTAATGCAAGACAAACTATTGTACTCTCTGTTTGCCTCAGAATCGATGCATTTTTAAGGAAATATGTATCAACGGAATGTGGGGGGCAAAATTTCGAGCCATTCTTGTAGCTTCGCACGACAAACATAAACACCCTTGGCTATTAAATATTAAACCTAAAGAATCGCTATAAACAAGAAAAAAAGAGTGTCTTGGGCAGTTTGAACACCATTCATGGGATCATTTACTTTTAGTGCAACTGAAAATAAGCACAAACAAGGTCTTATTCTGTCTATGGTGTTCATTCAAAATTGCAAAGAGTAAAGATAAAAATCTGTAGCAACGTCACACGGCAACATCCAGGAAAATGTCGTTACCGAAAATGGGAAGAAACTAGCGCCAGCATAGCTGGTAACAATTCAATGTAACTGATCGACAATCGACATAATTCGATTCACTCGGACTGACTTCAAGGATTAACTGCCCCTAGCAAAAGTAGCTGCTCAAGAAAAAATGTTCGATTGACTGTAAAGGTATCGAGGTCCATGCTCCAGACTAATGTAAGTTGGGAACATAATTTTATCCCAACTTCACAAGTACGTTATTTTGCATATCTTGTTAACACAAAAAAAAACAAACAAAACAAAACAGAGCAAAACAAAACGAAACGAAAAACATATATGTCCCAAACTTGGATAGATATGAACGGAAAATGCAATTTTTAACCTTTTACGAATTGTCAATGAAACCCTGGATAAAGAAGGATTAAAAGTTGATTTCGGTATGGCAAGGAAAAGTATGTACTTTGACCCTTAATTGTCTGTGCACTGCTTTAACATCTGATGAAGCTGCAAATCGATCAAACTCGACGGTGAAAAAGTCTTAAATTTCTCTCTAAAAGTCACGGAGTAGTACGAATAGCGAATACCGAACATGGAAAACTCGTCATAAATCTTACACAAAGTGTTATATGGCCGGACTCTTCAAAAAAGATGGTGACTGATCATTAAGCTACTTAGAGACACTGAAGTAAGGTTTTTTTATTTGTTTCCCTCTCAATTTAAAATCTCTAAAATACAAAGCCAATAGTTTTGTTTAAAAATGCGCAGAAACACTTTTTTTCGTTTCTTATTATTGACTAACGTCTTTCATGTTGAGAGAAATTGAAACAGTTTAAATAATCTTCGATAAATCTTAACTGTCATGTTTATTGGATTTAACCTTTCGGTCGGATCGCCTTTGTTGGTTGACTTGCGGCCAGAATGAAGTCGTTGAATTTCCGATCCATTACGTAAACGGGTTGCTGCCACTTTTAAGCCGCTTCAAGGCAAAATTTCTTCTAACAGCATCAACACAACATCAAGCAGACTAGAGTTTTGAGAATATCGAGAAATATCAATAAGGGAATTATCTACTGAAGTTGATACAATACAAAATTCTTTAAAAACATCATAATAATTGAACGGCAGCCAGTAAGGAGAATTTCTTATGAGATCTTGAGAGGAAAAGGCCGAT